TTCTCCCTCTCTCTCTCTCTCCCTACCTACCTACTGTATTTCTCCCTCTCTCTCTCTCTCCCTACCTACCTACTGTATTTCTCTCTTTCTCTCCCTCTATCTACCTACCTACTTTTTTTTTAAAATTGCCTCTTCAAAACCTTGGTGCGTCTTATACTCTGACAAATACGGTATATTTTGGATTCTCAGATGATATATATACTATTTGGCACTTTTTACATTACAGTATTTTATTGCATATGCACACAGTTCCCAAAACAAGTGCTTAGCATATTGGGAAAATCAGTAGGGCAAAATCTTCCTCTTTCCATACCTTTTTGTTCTTGTACTTAAAAGTGATGTTGATGTAGAATTAGGACTTGCTATTTTGCACACTACTATAAAGGGACAGGTGGCTCAGTACCTAAGACACTGAGCTTATCAACCTCAGAAAGGTCGGTGGTTCGAATCCCTAGCGCTGCGTAACTGAGTGAGCTCCTGTTACTTGTCCCGGTTTCTGCCAGCCGAGCAATTTGAAAGCATGTAAAAATGCAAGTAGAAAAATAGGAACCGGGAGGGGGGGGGCAAGCCGCAGGAACCGGGGGGAGGCAAAGGTGATGGCGTTGCTTAGTGCCTTCTGGATACCACTAGGTTGGTGAGCGGTGCTCTGCCTGGCTGGAGGTGGGGGGGGGGTTGTCCAGGGGGCTTATTTGCAGGAGAGGGCTTATATTTGAACCACCTTTTTGGTGGGAAGGTAACAGGGCTCCATGAATCTTTGGCATTTAGTCATGCCGGCCACAAGACTAGAGAGACATCTTTGGACAGCATGGGCTCTTCAGCTTTGAAAGGGAGATGAGCACCACCCCCTAGAGTCGGGAACGACTAGCACATATGCGTGAAGGGAACCTTTACCTTATAAATGCTATAAGGCAGTGGTGTCAAACTCATTTAGGGCTGCATCAGGGTTGTGTTTGACCTCAGGGGGACAGGATGGATGTGGCCAAGGTGGCATGGCCAGCTCAATGTCACACATGTGATCAAATGCCACTTTTGCTAGTAGTTTGTGAGGGACGCAAAGGGCCATCCCAGGCTCCATTTTCGGCTGCAATGGCCTCTGAAAACAGAGCCAGGGCTGCAGGAGGCCATTGCAGCTGAAAACAGAGCCCATGAGGGGCCCCTGCCGCCCTCCCAAACTCTGTTTTTTATGGGAGAGGCATCACAGGCCGGTCCTTCGCTGTTTCCAGAGCAGCCCCCGGGCCAGATACTAAGCACCTGCAGCCTTCAGGCCTTGGGTTTGGCACCCCTGCTATAAGGCCTCCAGGTTCAAGCAGGAGTAAACTAAATGATGATGAGACGATTTCAGCAGAAGTTGTCTTGTTTTTCTCTGGATGAGAAAATTGCATTTGCCTGACCTTCTGTCTCTTACAAAATCATCTTCTTTTCCAGAGCATCATTGGATATAGTGGCACGTTACTTCAAAGAATATGCCCTCGTTGGTCAGGACATACTTGGAAATAAAGAAAAATGGGAAAAAGTGTTAGCTTTGGTTCCAGAAAATATCCTTTTGGGACTGTCAAAGATGGAGTTGAGGTTATATAAAAATAGGCAAACAGAAGTTTTGTATGACCATCTGGCCACAATAGCCATAAATAGTCAAGACAGTGTGTAAAACATAATCCAGATAGCTACAGTCTAGCATCTGGATTGTTGCAGTAGCCAGGAAGTAAAATTATTTATAACAGAATGTCATAAATTCCCACTCTCTCTCAAAAAAGCCCCACATCAATACAGAATCCATTAATTAGCCAAGGAATCTTTCAGGCAGAAGCAAGTAAGCTTCTTGGACAACATCTGAATGAAGCTGACATCCATCATTTTATCCTGGTAACTGACCGATTAGAGCAGAGTTTCTCAACCTGTGACTATTCTGGAAGCTGAAATCCACACATCTTAAAATTGCCAAGGTTGAGAAACACTGAATTAAAGAGAACTGATTTGGTTTAGTAGTGGGGCCCATGTGACCTACTGTATACCAGGAAGCAGAAGATTGACATGCAATCTTCTTTTTTGAAAGAAGGCAAAGCTATTCCCCTTGGAGGGGGTACAGAAAGTTGTCTATGTCGCTTCAGAGCCTAACCTGGAAAGTCCTTAGCAAATCCTCCACCAGATCAAGATTCTCTTCGTTCGGAATTCCGTAAAAAGCACAATTCAGAGCAGCGCTGGGAAGTTCTGGAAAAAAAGGTAAAATAAATAGTATATGCAAAATTAACACCGGGGATAGAACTTTGCTAATAGGTTAGACTCTTATTTTAAGTTGTAGTGCTGAAAAGGTCAATAACTCAAGGCTGGGGGATGCTTTGCTATTAAACCTTGGTGCCTCTGGATTCTGAGAGCCTGTGAAAATCAATGTGGAAATAAAATGAGAATCATTAAGCCAGAAAGTTGACATATCCAGAATACAACAACACTTTCTATTTTTAGTCTGCTGATTCTCCTTACTGCACTTTCTTCCACCATAAAAGGTTTATTTATAGCTTATTGAAAATTGAGCATCTGAAGAGGGAGCTACAGTTATTCTGAAAGCTTTTTGGCTGCTGAATTACAAAAAAAGTCCAAATAGCGATTGGAGAAGAGTTATAGGAAGTCAGACAGCATACAAATTCAGTTGATGATAATGTGGAAATACATAAAATTATGATGATGATGATGTGTCAAGAAGTGCTTTGTATGCAAAACACCCTTCAAGATCTCCAAACAGGAAAGAGAAAGATTTGGACTTGAGTTCTTAGAAAGGCAGGAAGCTGGTTTGCCTGGGCAATACAGGTAGTCCTCGATTTATGACCACAATCCAGCCCAGAATTTATGTTGCTAAGTGAGAAATTTGTCAAGTGAGTTTTGCCCCATTTTTCAATTTTTCTTGCCACATTTGTTAAATTAGTAACACGGTTGTTAAGTGAATCCGGCTTCCCCGTTGACTTTGCTTGTCAGAAGGTCGCAAAAGGTGATCGCATGACCCCAGGACACTGCAACTGTCATAAATATGAGCCACTTGCCAAATCTCTGAATTCTGATCGCATGACCATGAAGATGCTGCAAAGGTCATAAGTGTGAAAAATGGTTGTAAGTCACTTTTTTTCAGTGCCGTTGTAAGGTCGAACAGTTGCTAAATGAACTGTTGTGAGTCAAGGACTACCTGTACTAAGAGACCTGGGCATTGTCTTGACTTAGGCTAGTTTCCTTTGCATTGATCCTTTTCTCTTTCTCATTCTGAAGAAAATGGTACACGCTGAAAGGGAGATTATGCTGCAATACTGTTTTCCCCGCCTGGATATGAACGTTAGCAAAGGCATCAACCATCTGCTGAAGAGCCCTTTCAGCGTTCACCCAAAGACAGGTCAGTCACTCAACAATACTCCTGCATATTTTCTTTTTGTTGGGAATTCGGCAAGAGCCTGAAATGGCAGAGAATGTTGAAGCTGGAGGTGGAAACACAGGGAATTCATTTCAAGTATGGAGATCACTATTTAATACGCAGCCATTTGTTATCTCTGAGCCTGTCTTACTTTCAGGGTTTTTGGAAGCTAAAATAAGGCAACGCTATGTATGCAAAATTGAGAATAGAGAACAGGGAGGATTTAAGCATCATTAGTAGCAACATGCCGCTTTGTCTAACATACCAGTTATTCCTTCTGCTGCTTTTGAAATGTACATTTCCCTGTTAAGTGTTTTCAGTTAGGAGCTGTTGGAAGAAATAATGCTAAAATCAAATATGATTTTGCGGCTTTTTCACGCTTCTGATGGGCCGCTCATGCTTGTAGCCGAATGAGAAGAAAAACACCGGACAAATCCTTCTTGTGATAAGCTNGCAGGCCAAAGATCCAAAACAAAAGATGGCTGCAGGCCTGACATAGGAATCATTTTGTCTCTTTCAGCTCCGCAGAGATTTGCTCCAAATGCTGGACTCTCATGACCATTGCCATCCACATTATAGACCGAGCCCTTGTAGGTAAGTGGCTGATAGCTATCTTAATCCCTATGGTTGCCCAGCCTAACCCTCTTCCTCTGCCAAAGCTGGAACATATCTGCCTTCAAACAGCCTAGAAGTATTTCAGAATTGTGTGATTTCTTCAACCCTATTGATTGCACAAGGTGCCTGGCCCAAAGAAAAGAGAAGACATGCCTTTGTTTCAAGACGTTTCCCATCCTTTAGCAATAGGGCGGGAGAAAATTATATCTAATTAGTAACAAATTTTAAATCGTTCTATGTTGCGCAAGTTGACATTAATGGTGAGTCATAGAAAGGTAGGAGAATATTGAGGGATGTACATATATTGGGTTATATAGTTCCCTTATGTGTTACAGCAATGAATGACCTCGGTTGCCTCCAGACATCCCTCCAAAACATGTTAGTGTCCAAGTGCAATTTTTAATATGGTAGGAAATGTATTAACTGTACAGGAATAATCATGTGAACTATATTTCTTTGATTTATTGGAAAACTAGCCGGTAACCCAGCGTTGCCCGGGTATTTTTTTATAGGGGGGAAATGTCCAGACCAAACATAATTTCTAATGTTGGATTTTCCCCATTACTAGAGGGAGCCCCCTAGTGGAGTACTTTGAAGCCATTACCATGGCAACTCCACAGTAGAAGCCATTTTAAGGCACAACAGGCTGTATCTTAACAGAACCCCCCCCCCCCCGAGGAGTATTAGGGATGTCTTACCCCCATAGTACCAAGTTTGGTTAAGGTTATTTATGCTAGCCTCCCACTCCTTAACCTTGGTCCTGAACAGTTGTAGGAGAAAGCTATAGTTTGCATGCCCATTACATGTGAGAAAGGAAGAACAGATGTTGGCTCAAGGCTGTCGGAGTTGTCATGAATTGGGATGATATTCTTGGACAGTGGCTAATCGGGGGTTTCCCTAATTTGGCGCTTTGGGGAACTGTAATCATGCTGGCTGGAGATTATTGGAGCAGCAATTCAAAGACATCTGGAGCGCACTGAGTTGAGAAGAATTAACCTCATCTATTGTTTGATAATAGGAAAGATGGATAGGTCCATTTCTATTTTTGATAGATACATGCCAAATAGTCTTTGGTTTGGCACGTTCCCTGAGTTTTCTTTGCAGTGCTCAGCTCTTCTATCCTTCAGTTGATACATGTCTTAGCTTCCATCTGAAGGAAGATGCTTCTGCCTGTCCTTAAGTAGAACACAACTCTTGGTGATATGTGGACATGTCAGGATAGGAGGCATAGTTTGCTTGGAAACAGAATCTCTTTGCCACCTTCTGGGACTACTTTGTCCTCCCAAACTAGTCCCAGGATTTCCTGGTGGTCTCCCATCGAAGGATGAATGAAGTCCAACTCTGCTTAGGTTTTTAAAACCAGCCAGAATCGGTCAGTGACTGCTACCTTTCAGATTTATAAAGAAATCTGTGTGCTCTACTCCCACTAGTTCTCAGTGGAGCACAATACATGTATTCTATTAAATGCAGTCATATTTAGTGGTCTTTCAATATTTAATGATATTGAATATCTATTCAAACATCTATTTACGGCTTCAACTCAGAAAAATATTAAAGCAGCTTATAATCAAACTCAAACAAATTGAAACAAGATTAAACTATATAATAAAATGCAGAAATGTACAGTATCAAATAAACTATAAATAAAGGCAACTAGCATTTTGGTTTATTTTTCTTATTGGCATTGTTTTGACTCAGAAATGAAGCCTTTTTGCTGTAGCTATAAGCAAGCTGCTATTTTCTTTGATCGGCCGTTTTAAGCCATGGCTTTAACTGTAAATAATTGGGTTCACACATTCTATAATAAGTCATTGTTTACAGATTGCCATAGTTTAAGTCAAATAGATAGTACTGAACAGAATAAATGTCATTTTTATAGCTTTTAAGTTTTGTTTGTTTGTTTGTTGCTTCCTTGGTAATCTAAACGGTGTAATTTTTTGGTGTGTGGTTTTCTTCTGTCCCTGCAGAGGACTTTGGCATTCAGCATAGACTGTGGGTGTATTCAGGACGCAGAGGGGTCCATTGCTGGGTGTGTGACGAGTCTGTCAGGAAGTGGTCTTCGACTCTCCGCTCTGCCGCAGTGGAATATCTCTCCCTAGTCAAGGTGTGTTCCTGTAGCCAGAGGGGAACAGAGCGTGGCCGCACTTTGTAATGAGATTTGTAGTGGGCAGGACCAGGAAAGAATTCTCCAAAATAACCACACAGTTGTTGCAACTCAAAAAAAATCAGTTTCTATGCTCTGAAGTGGCAGGCTTTAATAGCTGCGGTTTTGATTTTCCAGCTGGCACCAATTTTTGTCAGAGTGTCACTAGTGTGGATGCTGGGAGTTACAGAACAGCAGCTTGGGTGCTATCCCTTGGACTCAAGTTACCTATCTGTCATTTACCCAGGGAAATAAGTAGACCTTCACATCAAAAGGGTGAGGAAATTAACCCCGCATGAGTACAGTCCTGGCAATAGGCTGTTATATCAGAGCCTGCATCTGGAAAGAGAAAAGAAGTACTATTGATTTACTAAAAGGGATGTGATGGCTCAGTGGCTAAGACGCTGAGCTTGTCAATCAGAAAGGTTGGTGGTTCGAATCCCTAACTCCGTGTAACGGAGTGAGCTCCCATGACTTGTTCCAGTTTCTGCCAATCTAGCAGTTCAAATGCATGTAAAAATGCAAGTAGAAAAATAGGGACCACCTTTGGTGGGAAGGTAACAGCGCTCTGTGCACCTTCGGCGTTTAGTCATGCCAGCCACATGACCACGGAGACATCTTCGGACAGCGCTGGCTCTTGGGCTTTGAAACAGAGATGAGCACTGCCCCCTAGAGTCAGAAATGACTAGCACGTATGTTCGAGGGGAACCTTTACCTTTACCTATTGATTTACTTACATTATATTTAATCCATTCTTCAACCACAAAGATTCCTGGAACGGTTTGTGGATCCATAAAAATCTATGCACTTCTCTTCCTCTTTCAAACTGAAAAGAAAGCACACAAAATGAGAAAATGGAAGAGGGAAGCAAAAAACCCAAGAAAACGAGAAGTAAATTCTTAGTATGATGACATTCACAATATAATTATCTGCTGTAATACAGGCATTCATTGTTGCCATTTTTAACCCCGGCTCCTCGGAAT